TCCTTCCTTCCTTCCTTCCTTCCTTCCTTCCTTCCTTCCTTCCTTCCTTCCTTCCTTCCTTCCTTCCTTCCTTCCTTCCTTCCTCTAATTGGACTCAGGATACAATTGGGCTCAGGCCTGAAAATGTGGAGAGAGGTGAGAAGATGTGGAGAAAGGTGAGAAGGAAGGAGCTTTTTTTTTTCTTTTTTACTTTTATAGGCTCCCAGGTCCAGTCTATTCAAGCCATGGGGGTTCAGTTTATGGGCCTTTACCTGGAGGGAATATCAGTGTTTTTTAAAAAGGGCAGTTGTTCATAATGTCCCTGTGAATGGTGAGGGTACGTTTCTTTTTTTAACTGCACATGCTGCTCACACTCTCCTGTCTCTGTTGATTCCTTGTCTTCTCTGCTTTGGTGATTACTGATCAATAGCCCTAGTACTTCCTACCAGCTTATAGTGAAGATAGCCTGCCTTTATGCAGTTGTGGGAAACAGTCCCTGGGATTCACTAGCAAAGGTGAAAGTGGGGTATAGCTTATACAGCATTTCTTTCATTATCTCCTGAACAGTCACCATTCCTTTTGGGAAGCAGATGCTGATAGAACAGCCTTTTCAGGACTGAGCAGGCAGGTTGTACATCAAACACATGTCCTGGGATTTGCAAAATTGAAATCACAAGAGAAAGTATAAATTCATGCAAATTGACAAGGTGATTGTTAATCTCATACTTAAGTTTGGAGTGTTTCCACTGTTGTATGAAGTAATATTCAAAGACCTATGGAAATCTTTTCTTTACTGCATTGTCATATGTCCACTTTAGGTTTGAACAAAACAAGGCCAGTTGCTGTGTCTGGGACATCAGAGCAGTTATGAGGCATGATATGTAGAACTGTAGGTGGCCCCATGAATCCTGAGTAAATTTACGAGCACAGACTTGGATTCCGAGGTGTCATAAAAACCTTCGCACCTCTAGAAATAAGTTCTTACAGCTGACTGTCCTGGAATTTATTTTTGCTCTGCTACTTGCAAAAATATGTCTTCCAAACAGCTCACAGCTGGATTGCGAGACATTACTAAATACTGATAAAATGGATATGGTGATAATCACACTTTTTTTTTTTGCTCTACTTCCTTGGTTAGGACAGTTGATATGGGCATTTAGAGCTGTGCACCAACTGCAGAAATGTGATTCCACAAGGAAAGTAGACCTTCTTGGCCCTTGGTCAAAACTAGGACTAGGTTTTAATTCTTATTTTGTGCCAGAGTCCTTAAATTGGTTAGAGTCAACCCTGGGACTTCCCTTAGACCTCTTGGGATATTTATGCTTTTGAAGAGGGGAAAAGCCAAATGTCATTAGAAATGGGAGAAGTTGAGGAAGGACTTTAATCTTTTCCAGGAGGGAAAATATGCTAGGCTAGATTGAGACATTTAGAGGAGACATACTCATCTTTCCTTTAATTTTCAGGAGCACAGAGGTTGTATTGAAAGAAATTCCTGAAGCATCTAACTTAGAGCCAAGGCTCAGTAAGTAGTGGCACTGGTGATGCAATCTTGGATGAGATTTATTGCAAAGTTACTCAATGGTAGAGGAAGATATTGGGATAGGAGTCATTAGTTCAAGTTTCCCACTCTTGGTTTCCTGCCCTTTCCCTTCATCAGGAAGCAAGACTTCAAACCTTAGAGCTCTTTTGTTGTCATTATGAACAATAAAGGGTCAAATTGGGAAATCCCTGCTCACTTTTCAGATAGTCTGTTGGGAATTGAAATGGATTATGGGACTAGAGAGAGGTAGGAAATGTGCTCTAGTGTAAGCCTTAGAATACCAAGGGCTGGGCTTTTTAAGCAATTAGAAAAATAACCTTAGACATGTGCAAGTTACTCCTCCCCACCCTAGCTTCCTGTCTTTGTGTTACATTTAAAGTTTTAAGGTAAAATCAAAGGAGATCAATAGTACTGGAGAAGCTTTAACTTGGAGTGTATGTTCCTGCTGTCTATGTTGATAAATACAGATAAAGTTTATTTATACCAGGCCTGTCTATAAAACTGTCCTTGACACTTTGCAGTGAAATAGATTAAATTGTTGAAATGTTATGAGATGAAAACAATTAAGGTGAAGAATGACTGCGTCATGCCTCAGGCACCCCAATAAGGAGGAATGAAAGCCCACTTTAAAATGAGTTTCATTTAGAGGTTCCCCTAGACAGCCTGTTGGTCTAGGCCTCTCAGGCAAAGGGTTCTACTCTATAGGTTCAATATAGCAGAAAATTGGATCCACTGTTTTGTGTTTTAACATCTAAGGTTACGAAGTGAGTGATCCTGTGGCCGGATGGTAGAGTTTGTGGAGTAGGCTCGATCTGGTTACATCATACTGCCATAGATATCTTGAGATTCCGATTGCTCCATCTGTTATCAACCACTCATTGACTGCCTGTCTTCTGCGTTTCCCTCACTCCTACTTCCATCCATGTGAGGGGTTGTGGCATGTGAGACAGTCAGGGCTCTGTTTCTTGTCCCCATTTTCCATCCTCTTGTTCTCCAGTGACAAGGAATGAAAGGGGAGCTAGGAATATAGATGTTTCTGGGGCACAGTTTCTCCAGGGCTTTAAGTTGAAGTAAAAAAATCAAAGTTAACCCATGCACATGGAGAAAGGTACTAGGAAGGAATCTCAGCAGTTAGTGCCACTTTTCTCTTTTTCCCTTTCCTTTGTCCCTTTTCTTCCTCTTCCCAGTTCATCTTT